AAACACAAGGAGCAGATGTCCTGTCCCAGCCCCCAGCCAGAACAAAGTAAGAGCGCAGATGGAGGGAACCGTGTCCTGAGCATCTACAAACCCTAACGTGGAGTACAAGGCCTCGAGAAAGGAACTTATAAAATGAAAAGAATTTATAAAATACAGGAAAATAGTGTGAAAACAATAGACAGAAACTGGGCAAGAGACCACTGCTGTGGCGATGTTCTGCCCTCACCTCAGAGCCACCATCCGTATCATGGTCCCATCTGAAGGTCAAGCCTATCTTCATAGCAGCACATTTGAATAATTTAAATCATTCTTATTAAATAATATTGCCTCTAGGCAGAGGTATTAAAGGGAGGCTTGCGAGCGGCTGTGTAACCAAAACTTTCATTGTAACCAAAACTAGGAGTGCAGTGGCCAGAGGGTCTCCAGCGGCCGCCCCCACGCTGACTTGGTGCAGCTGTGCGGCCACGAGGTGGATGGAGCTTTGATTGAGCCACTCTGGCTCTTTTAACTTGCCAAGTCTCACACTCATTTTTTGGTAACTTACTCTAAGTAGTGCACTATTTATTCAGCATTGAGACAAGAGGCAGCGTACGTGCAGTGGCTATCCTGCAGCCCGTGTTCAGGGGAGCTGGTCTCTCGGAGGGTGAGGAGGTGTGGGGCTGAACCTAGGTGTGAACCCTGAGATGGCGACAGTCCCTCATCCCAGACGAAGTCACTCAAGAGCAAAGCAGACTTTGAGGCTTTTGGAGAAAAACAGCTCCTTCGCCTGCACCAGCTGCTTATTTCTTCTCTGAAAGTTCTGGGAAGAACCCTCTCCTCTCCTCTAACATTGTCTGACATTCAACTCGGTTTTCGTTTTTCCACGAGGTCTGTTGTTTGTCTCTATAAAGTAAGAAACTGACTCCAAAGCCAAAGAGAAGCTTCTCCCCGTCAGAGCTCTCTGACTCGCAATGAAGGGCTGTCTGTCTACAGAAAGGGAGCTCACAACGGGTGCTCTGGAGACTGACCGCTCACTCTGGGGGGCCGGGGAGATCCTTGTTCAGAGGATGTAAGAGCATTCGCTGAACGATGCCTGTGATCTCAAACCAGTCTCTCACTAGGACCAGCAAGTAGAGAAAGGGACCAGGGGGCTCGGCTGAATCCTTGGGGCCCAGGCAGCCAGGGTGGCAGGGGAGGCCTCCGCCCTCTGGCCGTGGTAAAGCTCCCCCAACCCATTCCCTCAAGAATCACGGGATACTCATTTTAGCAACTCAGAAATCCATTTTGACCTTTTTCATTTGGCTTGGTTCTTAAATGGAGAAAAAAGAAAACAAACAGCAAACCCAAACATGAACAAACCAGACTCGAGAAGAAAATGATGGGCTGTGGCCTGAGCGCGTGCCTGCCCGAAGGCCATGCTCCTCCCAGCACTGGCCTGGCGCCTCTCTGCACAGGGGACCGGCCGTTGGATCCTGCCTGACCCAGAGTGTTAGTGGAGCAGGTCAGAAGACCACGTCTCAGGACCAGGACCGGTCTGGCACACATCTCCCTTCACGAAGGTATTCAAGTTGTGTAATCTTTAAGGATTTAAAAAGGTCCATTTGAGCCCCTCAGAGGCGCCGCAGTACAGACTCACTGCCCTCAGCAGAGGCCGACGGTACCTGGGAGAGCTTCAGCGTGGAGAGAGATGCAGGCAGCTAATGACGGGGCTCCAGGACCCACGCCTCCCGGGGGCTCTGTCTCCTGCATGGCTCTGCTCGCGGTTCTGTGTGACACCGGCCGAGGTCTGACGTCGGCACAGGAGAAAGTGCCACTGAGCCAGGTAAAGTCCCAGCAGCTGGTGAGCTCTTGGGTACAACCCTTCTCACTTGCAGCATTGTACTCAACTGTCTTGGTGGGAAATGCTCAACTATTTAACAATAGTTATTTCTGTGACTTCCTTTCTACGCAGAGAGTAGGTTTCTCTGCATGTGGTGCTGGTAAATGTGATGACCGGTCAAGCAGGAGGCAGAGAAGTGGACACCAGGTACCTGGACGGAGAGGGAGCGGCTGGAACTATAGGGGCCGGGCGCCCTGCGTCAGAACGGCGGCAGGCCCTGCCCAACGCCAGCACACCTCTGCCTGGCTGACCTCTTCACGCAGACTGGAGCTACTGGTGATCAAACAGAAGGTTCTCGGACCTCTGAGGCTGCAGTGACACTGGCATAGTGCCAGATTGCGGTAGTTTTGCTTCTCCCAACCTTGGCTGGAGTCAGCCCACCCTCTACAGTCGATGCTGTGGCGGGTCACAGGCCACCAGATGCTAAGGGCCGCGGTTCACTGGTCACTTCCAGCCTGGCGCTCTCGCTTCCACAGATGAGTTCAGAGGGAGACCACCACTTGGCTGGCTCTGATGCTAGCAGGCAACCTTTCTGGCTGTGATGTGCATCTCTTTTGGGCACTGATATTCCTGGGCCTTTGGCTACCATTCCCAGACAAGTTCTGGCACAAGCCAGGCATATGGTCAGATGACCAAAAACTCATCCAGAAGCTGTTTGTGAACTCAGAGTGGCAGTTCCCCCAAGGCTGAGCCCTCCTCTCCCTGCCCTGAGCTGAGTCGGAGCTGACCCTACGGGGTCCCTTCTTCTTAGTCCCAGCAGGAGCTAAAAAGCAGCAGGCTCTCCACGTGGCAGAATGCCACCCATCAACACTTTGTCCTCTTGGTTCCATCCACCCACCTCTCTTTATTCCCTTCTCCCTGAACCACTGCCTGTACAGTGGGATCATCACTGTACAGGGACATCACTGAAGAGGGACAGAAACCAAAACATCTCAGAAGTCAGGAAAGCAAAGGGTCAGAGCCAGACCGATCACATCGAGCAAAGGGAGGCAAAGACCAACACTATTCCGTGGCCAACTGTCCTGTGCTTGTTCCCTGCAGACGACGCTGCCTCCCAAGGAGGCAAACCTGTGGCAGACAGGATGGTCCCCGAGCACACGAATCCCCCCTTGAAGTGCAGCCCCAGGAATGAATGACAATGGAGGGAGGGAAAGAAGCAACAGGGGACCCCGAGGCTGTTGGTGCACATGGCGCCTACCTCAGCCCAGCTCACTCATTCTCTCACTCCTGCCCACACACACTGGACGCTCGGGAGGAGACAGTTTCCGTAAGGTAACAGAAAATGTCAATGTGGAACGGACGGGGTAACTGCACCACAGGACAGCACACCCCGCGTCTTCATCCTCTCCCCTCTCTGCAACCTCACCGAGAGCAACAGGCATGCACTTCACAAAAGAGCTTATTTCCCGTGTAAGGTTTAGTGCCATAGAAACAACTGGTTTGGGGCTTGAAGAACACCAGAACACGTATTTCCCTGGTCCGGGCCGAAGGAGGCGAGCCGGCAGCGGTGGGGGCCCAGTGACTGACGATGGCGGTGGCGTATGGGCACAACCATGGCAACAAGACAGAGCTCGTCACATCCACACCTCCAGCTGCAGCCGGGTCACGCTCAGCACATGAGCCAGTCTTACCTGCACTGCCTCGAAATCCTGTTCCAAGGTTCCCCCTCCTTCTGAGCCACTTCCTGTGCAGCCAGGTCCTAGGCCGTGAGACCGTCGGCTCTTCCTCTTGGGGGCTTTCCGGAAGCTGTGGCTCGCTCGGCAGCACTGCCAGCTGGGCTCAGGGAAGAGCAAGCAGCTCTGCTGCTAAGAGACTAATGCCGATGACAGGCTATTTCTGAGAAGAAAACCATTTTCCCTGGGACTTCCGGAGCTCTGTGCAGAGTCTGTCGTTGTTTCTAGTTGTGTCCACCACCTGATGAACCAATGCCGGGGTGTCTAGTGAAGTTTAAAGTCACTTTTCACATTTCCTGAGAATGTTCTCCAAGAGAAGCTGAAGGACTTGACCCCCAAACTGGGCTATAAATCAGACAGGCTCACCTCCTGCTCTGGTGACAGCTCCAAGAGCGCAGGGCAAGTGCAGGGGTCCCTTCTCAGGGAGGCTGGTGCCACTCGCCTGGAGCGGGCCGCCCTTGGCTCTCACCACGTTGCAGGCCAGACCCACTGAGTCAGCAAGAGCTGGGCTTGGGGGAGGCACAGCCCACTCCCAGCTGCTGCTGACGGGCCTGGAGGCTCCAGGGCTGCCGGCAGAAGAGATGGTTCCAACTACAACAGTAGGTAAGTTTTGGGGTGGTAAAGAAAAAGTGGTGAGAAAGGCAGTGTGAGTGGCTTGCACTCAGCACTGCCTTTCCCGTGGTGTCCGCCAGCACCGGAACACCAGAACCACGGAGAACACAGAGCACACGTCTGTGAACAGCCTCCTGTCGGGTCGGCAACCTCCTTCCGCCTTGAGCCCCAGCTGCACCGATTTCCCAAGGCCACAAGGTCCAAGCACGGCCAGCGCTGCAGGCTCTTGGCTGCTCTTTCATCCAAACAACTTCTGCCTCAAGGACCAATCCAGGAAGCCGTCCATCTTTCTTGAAGTTAACAGACAAGGCAGCAGATTTACTCTCCCAGGGGATTAATGCCAGCCAGAACCCCAGACTACTACAGTTGTTAAATCGTCTACAGATGAAAACTTCAAAAACAGATGATCCCTTCTGTGTTTGTCTGAGATTATAATTAAGCCTGAATTCCACATTTCAACGAAACAAGAAATACCCAGGGTCCAAAACCAAACCAGACCCCTCCCATTAATGCCGATACTTTCTGTGTCACCTGTGGAAAGAAGACACCATAGAACAGTCTGAAGTCGGGCAGTTCCTGCCTTTCTCTTGCCCGTTCCCAACCCATCACAAACAGGGACGTACCCCCACCCCGTCCTCTCCCTCGGAAGGCCTGTCTGTGTGAGGCTGCATTTCTGTCCAGTCCTCCTGGGGCGAAGGCTGCGCCGGAAGCTTGGCTCCTTCTCGTGGCCGGTCTGCTGGGGATACATTCCTTGGGACGCCAAGCCACCCTTCTCCCCACGCCCTGGACAAAGGCCTGGAGAAGGGCGGTGCTGAGAGCGAAGGAGATAAAAACAAAGAACTCCCAGAATCATACAATCAGCGGTCTGAACTTGTTTATGTGTTTTGAGTTAAACCATAGCAGGGGCAGGAGATAAAATGATAAGGAGGATCAGCATGTCAGGTGCAGGCAGATGGAGGCTGTCCTGTCCGTTTGGCACCGTGCTTCAGCCAGTGGAGCTTTCCCATCACGGTCCCCGAGCGGCAGCGATGGCAGCTGTCACGGCTCAGCTCCAGAATTCCTTTGGGCGAGTGTTGCACTCCTCCAACATGCAGGCGACTTCACTCCCCGGTTCCGGGCCCCTGCGGGCCGGCAGCTGTGATCACCCCGGCCTGTGCGGTCACAGTCCCGACGGGTTCCTCCACTCGGGACCTTTTGACCTCAGGCTCCCCGGCTGAAGAGGCAGAGGTGGCAGCGGTGGCTGTGCTGGTTGGGGTGGCGGTGCTGGTGGCCGCTGCTACTGCCGGCTCCTCGGGCCCCACCTCGCACACCCGGGTGACCACTACTGGAGTGGACGAGCTAGCCTGGGCCGCAAGGAGCTGCAGGGGGCTTGTGAGGGCTAGGAGAGGAGGACAAAGAGATTACGCTGGGGAACCGCTTAGGACCAGCATTGACCTGTTCTGAATACATGCCAAATCGCTCCACAGGGCTAAGTCCATCACACAGGAACCCAGCTCCCAGCACACCCAGAGCTGCTGTGTACAGCTACCCAGCAGCCCTGGGCTCTGGGCCCTCGCCAGCTCCCACCTCGGCCAGCCTTTCCTCCAGTGGCTGCGACCCCGTGCACAACCCCCTCCCTGACCTTGGCCTGCTCTCCACCCACGGGGCCTCCATCCCTGGTCTCCTCTCGCTGTTGCTTCTGTGTGGATCCCTCTAGACCCCTGATGGCTCCACCCTCACCTCTGGCAGGTCATTAACAAACGCTGTCCGCCCTGAACCACCAACTGGTAACTGAGCCCCACCTCCTCCCCTGCTTTAATCTGTGTCCTACTCCCTCCTGGGGCACCTGAAACCCCTTTGTCTTCCCCTTTGATCTCTTGTCTGACCCTGTGGTGTCAGCCCTGGGACTGGGGATTTTGCTTTCTTCTCAGCATCACCACAGTGCCTGGCGCACAGCAGGCACACAACAAATTGACTGACCCACTGATTAACCGGAAAACCGGTTACCGACTACCTACGGACCAAACCCTGGGGCTGAGGTCAGGCAGGGCCTCACCGTAAGTGCTGCCGGCTAAGCTATTAGTGGGGACGGCATGCTTGCCATTCTGAGTGACGGCCCGGACCGGGAGATGGTGCTGCCCGATGGTCACTGGTGTGGCTGGCTGCAGGATGGTGACCGTGTGTCCGGGGACCCCTGGGGCCATCTGGCTGGCCACCGTCTGGATCACTCGGCTGGCAGCAGGGATGGTGGCAAACGCAATGGTGGGTTTCTCTTCCAAGCCTACAGGAAGAAAGCGTGTGAGGACCCCACCTCGCCTACACCGCCATCCATGTTCACTCACGCCTCGGCGCTAAGTCCAATAGAGGGGAAAGTGGATCGTGCTTCTTAAGCATTGACACCGGGGAAAAACACTCGTTCTCAAAAGAAAAATCCCACTGACGAAATACATTTTGAAACAAGAGAAAAATGATTAATAGGGTTTTAGAAAAAAATGTAAATACCTTGAACTTTAACCAACCCACATTTACTCTGAGAAAGAAAATGTATGATCTGGAAGGAAATGATCTGCATTTGGAGCCACAACTTATTCTTCTTGCAACGAAATGCATGTCATTATGAAGGTGTTGAAAGGAGGCACTACTGCTGAAATTAGCTAACAGCGGTCAACAAGACGCAGGAGATGCTGCTGAATTCAAAAGTATTCCTGCTTTCACAGGGTCTTTTACAGTTCTGGTTGCATTTTCAGTATCTACCCCATTAATTCCCTGGGATCCAGATTTCTAATTTAGGAATTTGCAACTATTTTTTACTTTAAATGGTTTCTAAGGACTCCTCACTGGGGGCTCCAGAGGAATCATCCTCTGAATTCCGATTTTAGGCAGGCCCCCCAACCTAATTCCCTGTGACCTCAGGGGCTCTGTGCCCTGGGAGGTGCTATTATACAAGGAGGAACGCGCTTCAGAGGGTAACTAGTGCTGATTACAAGGACATACTCCCCAAAAAACAAACAGCAGGAAGGGGAGGCAGCAGCCTGAGAGCCATCGGCCCCCAGAGACAGCCTGTGTCCCTAACACTTGGCCTCTGCAGCCCCTGTGGCCCAGGCTGACGGCTCTACTTTTTGGAGACCAGTGACGGCCGTATAGAACCAGCCAAGCAACCACACGGCTACCTTACCTCTCGCCTCGCTGCCCAGGTCCAACACTGCTGTGCCCGCTGCTTCGTGGGCACCCCCGGCCGAGGCCTGGCTGGCAAGGATGTATCCGTTGGCGGAGCTGGCGGAGGTGGTGACCACCCTGAGCATGGTGACTGGGGGGGCCTGCTGCACGACGTGGATCGCGTGGCCAGAGGGCTGCTGGGCCGTCACTATGGAAGCTGGCATATAGGCGACGGGCTTGGCCACTAAACTGGGAGGTCGGGGAGGCACGGCCATGATCACTGGCTGGGCACTGACGGGAGAGCCTGCAGAGAAGGAGCGCAGCCACTGAGGACTCTGCCCGCTCCCTTCCAGGGCCCGAGTCTGAGTCGGCCACCTCACGTCAAAGGACAGAACCCTTCTTACCGGGTGCACTCTGGGAATACCGATACTCTGGGACAGACGCTAACTTTGACCCAAAGTCATTGTCGTGTGGAATGGGGGAGCCCTCCCGAGACAGGCACTCTGGAGTCTGCAGGCCACTAGAACGAGGGGACATTAGCCCAGGGTGAGTGGGTGAGGCTGGAGCGCTCCTAAAAAAGAGAGAAAGCACGTGGTAGTGAGTAAACAGGCCAGGAAATGAAAAGGGCGTTTAACAAACCATCGAACATCCTAACACCCACATCCTGCATGCTGCCTTTGCTCGACTTCTCCCGATGTTTCTCTCTGTGATCAGGAGGGATTTCCAACACTAACATCCTGCAGTGACGACCTGCCACCCGACACACGTCACATCACCCCAGCAGACAGAGCCCCCGTAAACAGGAGGAGACTGCGCTACCTGTGGCTGCCCAGCAAAAGCCATACTCGAGAAGATTTAGCTCCTGAAGGGACTAGCCGCTCTCCCAGGAAAGTGGCTCAGTGTCCTGTGTTAAAACAAGCTTTTGTGGGGCGAGCAAAAACTTCCCACCAGGATAAATCTACAACTCAGAGAGCTTTGGGAGCACAAGTGTTTATCTTGCATGAATAACAATCTATGGAACCCTGCTGCTTCCGTCCCCACGTGCCTGGGGTCTAAAACAGAGCATCCTTGCCCAGCTCCTGCCAGCGGGCGTGTGCCTGGCACAGCCGCGAAGCATCGAGACTCACAGTCTCGCAAACATAATCAGCTCTCAGGGGACTGTCAAAGACACACGAGTGACACGAGGACACAGTCCCCCTGCGCCGCTGAACACACACAAGGTCAACACAAACCAAGAGAGGCAGGGAGCTGGGGCTGCTCAGATGCAGTTGGGGGAGGAACAAGTCTTCGTTTTGCTCTACAATCAGCACTATAAGCACACTCATGAATAGGATGCTGTCTCCCTCCGCTGGACATAGGGGGCTGCAGATTCCCCGGTTTCCATGGGCAGAGACCTGGCTCTCTCTGCCCTCCTGGCCCCTCTAGTCTCGCCTACTGCTTCTCTTACTTCTCGGCTCACTCGTCTGCCTCCACCCAGGCCTAGAGTCCTTGTTTGCTTATTCCAACGCTCAAACTGGTAGTGACCAGGTCAGTCCCCAGTCCGGGACTCTGTGACAGCCCTAATTCTTCCCACAAGAGCTCCAACTCCTCTCAGGTCCTCTCTAATCTGACTTTACTCTACCAAACTAGTCCTGTGTCCACCCGCCTCCCACTCCCAACACACACACCTATTGTCTTGCTCCAAATAAATTCAGACTCTGGAGACCACTCAGTCCCCTGCTGCTCCCTAAGACACAGCCCACACCAAAGCTTCTGCGACACATCCTCTTGGCCTGAGGGTTTCCTTCCCCTGATTCCTCTGTGCAAATCCTACGAAGCATAAGATCTGAGTCCCCAACTGCAAGGTGACCTTGACGACAGGCCCACTTATGCTCCTTTACAGACACTCCTCATGCTTGGTTTGCTGGGCAGTGCTGGGCACACAAAGCAAGCCCCAGTAACTATCCCCCAGCTGCTGATGGGCTGGTCTACGAGTGAAACATGGTGTTGGTCACTGGTATGCGTTGAACTGTGTCCCCAAGAAGGCATGTTGGGGTCCTAACCTCCAGTGCTTCAGAAGGGGACCTCCTTTGGAGACAAGGTCATTACAGAGGTGAAGTTAAATGAAGTCAGTACGGTGGGCCCTAATTCAGCGACTGGCGTCCTCATAAAAAGGGGAAACTTGGACAAAGAGCATGCACAGGGAAAACGCCATGTGAAGAGGAAGGCAGAGGTCAGATGATGCTTCTACAAGCCACAGAACCCCAAAGATTCCCCACAAGCCCCCAGCAGCTAGGAGAGAGGCCTGGAGCAGATTCTCCCTCACGGCCTCATAAGGAACCCTGCTGCCACCTTGAACTCAGACTTCTGGTTCCAGAACCGTGAGAAAGAAATACCTGTTGTTGAAGCTGCCAAATTTGTGGTACTTTGTTACTGCAGCCCTAGCAAACTAATAGTTTAATAAAATTTCTCTCCACATTCCTATTTAAGCAATGTGGTGTTTTAGAAAATCTGAGCTCAGCTGAAATATTTCAAATGATGTTAAAAGACCTTTTGGGGGGCTGGCCCGGTGGCGCAAGCGGTTAGGTGTGTGCGCTCCACTGTGGCAGCCCGGGGTTTGCTGGTTCGGATCCCGGGCACGCACCGACGCACTGCTTGGCAAGCCATGCTGTGGTGGCGTCCCATATAAAGTGGAGGAAGATGGGCACGGATGTTAGTCCAGGGTCAGTCTTCCTCAGCAAAAAAAGAGGAGGATTGGCGGATGTTAACACAGCGCTAATCTCCTCACACAAAACAAAAACAAAAACACTTTTTGAATTCCTATCTTACGATCTATTCACCTCTGTTCCAGTTTCTACTTTGATTAGACAACTGAGAATCAAACCACAGACCCTGTTCCAGAAGTTAATTTCCAAACATTTAAGCAGTCTTTCACATAATCATGTTTGAAATACAATTTTGAAATGGAATGCTTCAGGTGCTAATGTTTCCTTCCAAGTAGAAGAATTTCTGAGAGCCTCCTTCCATCTCTTCCTGCACGCCATTCCCTGGGATCGGTGACCTCAGCAAGACTGCTGGGCCTGTCCAGTCTCCACTGGACCGCTGGCCACGAGCGACTGGTGCAGGAGCAGCCTTGACCAGTGGACAGGTAGTGCTGCTGGGGATGCAGAGGCTGCCCAGCCCTGCTCGGAGGCAGACAGAGGCCACACCCCGACATCAGCTTTCTTCATGACAAAGTCTATTTGAGCTCTGCCAGTCCCACCCTCTGTCTGTCCCTTCTAAGACACAGCACTCCATCGGGGAAGAGGGCGGCTGTTTATGGGGTCCCCCACACCCTCCAACAGAGAGCATGCTTCCAAGAGAATCACTGCAAACGTAACCCATTTCTACTCCTCCCTGTTTTTGGATTCCATTCCCACTGCTACACACACGTCAGCTTCTAGGAACTGACACATTAGAGGAACCGTCGGCAGCCCACTTACTAACTGCACTCTTACAAAGTTCATGGTCCTGAGATATTCTCTCTCTAAAAAAAAGGTGAAGAGTTTTAAGTGCCCAAGATACTACTGTGAACATGGGCGTCTGGGGAGCTGGGCCTCTGGCCGAGGAGCAGAGCAGGGGCTCACCTGGATGACAGAGGCCCAAAGGGGGTGCGGAAGCAGGAGACGCCCCTCTGCCTCCGTTTCCGGAATGCCTGTTCCACAAGCTTGGCTTCTGAGGCCGGGTCTATTCTCCAGAAAGACCCCTTCCCAGGCTCCTCCTGGGAACGAGGGACTTTAATAAAGTAACGGTTCAGAGAGAGGTTGTGTCGGATAGAATTCTGCAGACAAGCAAAGAGAGTTACCAATTATTAGCAAATTAGAAAACAAACCCCAACCCGCCCCAAATCTGAACGCGACAGACGCGAGACTAAAGGTGACAAGGCAGGCTGCTCATGGCACTGAGGGCTCTCCATGGGTGGCAAGATAACTATGATTTACTGGGGAAATGCAAAGGCAGAGTGGTCGTTCTTCAGAGCTCAGCACAGTCTAGGGGTACGCTGAGTTCAACACCCGTACTGAATCAGCTAGTACACGGGAACAGTAACTACGGGGAAAACATAAATGGGCACAGCAGGTGTTAGTGAAGCCTGATGCAGACCAGGGTCTCACGATCCTAGACAAAGACGAGACACACAGTTCATCCATGCGGACCCTCCTGTAAATAACGCATACCGTGTGTTTCCAAGTCAGCATGGAACTATAACACACAGGGAGCTTACAAACGTAACCACCTTCACATTTCTGGACATGGGGGAGGGGGACTGTAGCTCTTTTTAGAGATCCCGTAGGTGCTCAATGCAAACATCCCTGTGCCCCTATCTGTTTATCTTAAAGACAGAGACGCGCCTGTTGCGTTTCCTGCCCTCAGAGGCTGACTCGGAGGTGGGTCTCCAGGGCTCAGCCTCACCTGCCAGCCCTTGTCGGCCGTCCGGTAGTAAGGGTAATGCTTGGTGATGTGCGCATAGATCCCGCTGAGCGTCAGCTGCCGGTCCTGCGCCGAGGAGATGGCCTGCACGATCAGCTGCGCATAGGAGTATGGCGGCTTCGACTCATCCTGAGGAGAGACCGACAGCACAGCATCAGCTCGAGTCCAGTCCACCACAGGTCACCTCCTGATGGGGAACCCCTCCAACAAGGACAACAGATTAAAGGTGTCTACTTAAATTGGCCCCCATGACTGCCGTGTGCCTGCATGACACTAGGAACGGCCATTTCTGCCTCGTGGGAAGGAGAAATTAGCTTTTCACCGTAATTTAATTCCGAAATTTCTCACCTCCCCTACAAACTGATTTAAAAACAGTTAGATGAGAATGAACTAAGACACAAAGTTCAAGGAAAAAACCTGTCATTCTTCTCAAAGACTATAATTAAAACTCTCTAAACTGTTCTGTCACCAGCAGATGGAGTGAGGAGCAAATGATAAGGAGGCACAGAGGGGGAGGGACATTGTCTGCGCCGTCAGGTCAGCAAATGAGCGAATGTCCTATCTGGGCGGGAAGGCGCCCAGGCAGCGCTCCGTGCCAGGTGCAGCTCATCTCCACGTCGGCACTGCCAGCCCGCTGCGTCCCCGGAGCCCCTGCTCTGCCCCATGCCCGGTCCCCACATGGCCCACTGCACTGTGAGGACTGAGACCTTGGGGCTGTCCCCTCCAGACGTGTCTGCCTGCTGCTCCGAGGCGGCCTTCGCAGCGAACTCTGCTGCCAGCTGCAGGTCTGAGGTCACGTTCTGGACAAAGCGGTAGCCAGAGGAGCCGGCTCCGCGTGGACTGGCCGGGCAGGAGTTGGGAACACTGCGGAGAGAAAGGACACATCCTCAGTTCGTGCTACTGGAGAGGAAGACTTTGTGGCGCAAACAGGACTTCAGGACCTACCTGCATGACACAGGGGGACAGAGCAATTCACGACACTTTCCCTTTTCTACATCATCATGACGCTGCACCAACCCTTTATAAAAGATGCGCCAAGTGCAGCCAGAGAACAGTTACAGTGTCCACAACCAAGACTGGGACAGGGCAAGCTCTGCTCGCAGTGGGGAGCTCGGGCCCTGAAGGCAGGTCTGGGCCCTGCAGGGCAGGTCGCATCCCATCGTGGCGCAGTGCACACCCTCGGCCTCCAGGGCAGGGCGGGCTGACCGTGATGCAGCTGCTGTCTAGTGCTCACTCATCCACACGATGGCGCCCTGAGGACAGGGCGGGGAAACCACGAATCCAGAGAAGGCCTGGGTACCTGCTGGATGTAAACTGGCACACTGCCCCCGCCAGGGTCCTCCTGGCCACGGACCTTCAACCGCATGGCTCATGTGCACTGGTCTCTCCTAGGCCGCAGTGACAATCCAAGATTGAAATTGCAACCAAATACGTGGGCTGGAAACATCTACGGCTCCTTCTTCGAGGCCACTCCCATTTCAACCTGGTCCTCAGCATGCACTGCGGGCACAGCATGCAGGGTCTCTGCCCTGCCCGCACCGCCACCTGCTCGGGCTCGGCTCAGCGGCCACAGGCTGGCACGTTTCCTCTCATTAACAAGGTTATCAAACCACATCAAAACTTTTATTCTGAAAATTAATTCTATTACAAAATATTCAGAGAAAAACAACGAAAGCACTAAAGGTGGGTAACAAACCCAGAGAAGAAGCTCCTGCTGGGAGCTGACCAGAGCCTGGGGGTCGCCAACCTCATGTAGAATCATGGGTCCCCCTCCTTCCACTTTCCCTGCGAGTGACAAGGCCAACCTGTCTGCGTCTCGTCTCCCTATAGTCGGGGAAGACCGGAGGCCCCTGCCCTCAAGAGAGCGCCTCCAACGCCAACACCCCACCCAGAACCATCCAGAAGGCCGCAGTTCTCCAAAAATGCTTCACGCACTCTTGCTTCCTCCCCAGCTCTGTCCATGTCCCCTGCCTGGAACCTCCTTCCCCTCAGTGTCCAAATAACAAGATGCCCCCAAATCCCCACAAATCAGGCTCAAATGTCACCCCTTTGTGCCCCTTTCTGGAAACATGTACCCCAGAACCTTCCTCCTCGCATGGGCCCATCATGGCAACCACTGGTTTACATGCTTGTCTCCCTCAGACGGGGGCCCGTCTGCGGCATGTGGGGGGGCCCAAGAAATAGTCACTAAAGAGAGAAGGGAGGAACGAAAAAATAAAACATTGTGACAGAGAGAACCTTGGCAACTGATATTAATGATAAACTCAACTATGGACACTCTCCCTTCTCAGTAATGAACCCGTGTGAGCCAAACAGAATTTAAGGACCCTTATCTCAGAATTCTTGTTCTCTTCTCCACTAGACCTTAAATACGGTAGAGACAGGTAAGTCCTGTGAGTACAGAAACTTTAATCAACAACCATCAAAGAGCTTGTTAGAGGTAGAAAATAGTAACAGAAGCAGCTTTTTCTGAATTTAATTTTGAACCAAATACACAAAACCCAAGCTTTTAAGGTCAGGTGGGAGGGGAGAGCAAGGCCCTTACCAGTAACATGTCCACACACTCAAAACCAGGCTTTTCAAATGCACCCATTTGGGAACCAAACGCCGCCCCAGGCGGACAAAGCGGGGTTCACTGGACACACGGCCCCGATGCGAGGGCCTGGTCCTGAGGTTCTCCGTGCTGCCTTCTGCTGAACGATGCAGCGCTGCAGACCACGCCAGCACGAGAGCAGCCCTGCTCACTCTGCTCCAGTCCCAAACACATCCAACGCCCCTTCCGGACTTGAAGACAAACGAACCGGAAGAGCATGCCTTACGCGGGACCATGGAGGCCAAGAACTACCGCCCAGAAACCACCAGCCTCCCCGAGACAGATCAGGAAGAAATCAGCGTGAGTGGAAATGGCAGCAACAGGGCTTGTCTGCAAAAACTTCATCCAAGTCCAAGCAGGTGCAGGCGGATTCTTTACCTGCATGGGACTGACAGGGGTGCCCTTACCGTGGAGAGACGACAGACAGACACTTCTGGGCACAGACACCGGGGACCTGCTGCCCGTCCCAAGTCAGTATTTTGTAAAAGAACGCAGAAAATTGATGTCTAAGCCTCTGAAAGCAAAATCCAGAGAGAACAGGTTGTCACTCCCCTAAAATGATTTCAAATGGGAATAAGGTTTGGAAAGCTGGCTCACGAACAGGGAGAGAGGCAGGGAGCTCCGCCCACTCTGCGGTGCTGGGCGGCTCCTGCTGACAGACCCTTGCTGGTGAAGCTTCAGCAGGGACAGGACAGTCACTGCCTGTTATCCCCAGAGCCCGCCCAGCAGGCCTGTCCCAGGAGAACGTGCATTTGCACACACAGCCTTCCTGGCCTCAGGGCAGCTAGCTTCTCAATAAACCCCAACGAGCTGTCCACGCAGGCGGGCCTCAGCCGGGAGGGTTGTGCCTGGCACCCGGGCGCTCTGACATCACACCTCCATCTGAGGGGAAGGAGAGCTCCACACTATGTAAGCAGAACATCTTCGGGCTATAAAATGCACAGAGACAGGCCTTGGGGGGGCGGGCGCAGTGGGACAGTCAACAGGCTCTAAGGCAAGGCTCCCACCTGGGGAAGTGACCAGGACATTCGGTGTCCAACACCAGAGTTTTATCCTACTCCCCTGAAAAACTCCTGACAATTAGCAAAACCGGGAAAAATTCTTAGAGTACAAACACACATGTGTATCTCTCCAGGGGACGGAATGAAGACATGCCGGGGCCCTCCTGGGACACCAGGCTCCAGGCAAGGAAACAAAGACGCGCTCACTTTGGGGGGTCCCCCACTGCCCAGGGGTGTGGGAGTCTGAATTCCGGGACCCGATAAAGCAGCAGAGGCCGAACAGCCACGACCTACCAGGTGTCTCATGAAACAAATGCCCGTTCTTCCTGACTTGAGATTAAGAGGGGAAATGAAGCTGAACATGCACGTCAGACCAGCAGTTGTCGATTCCTCCCCTTCTACGGAAAAACTATTCCTAAGTCACATTTCTGTTTCAGGCGAGAAAGAGTGAAGGTCATGAGTGCGACTGCTCACGGTTGTTCTGTCCTGCCAGCAGCTGCTCTGGATTTGGGCCGTTGTCTCGTCAGGACAAACCCATGCCAGCCCCGTGACAGCCCAGGCCTAGATCATGACTTCTGGGACCGTCCAACACATACCTGGCAACAACACTGCAGCCTACGTTTACAATATTGTAAAAGAATGAACAGCCTAGCAGGAGAAAGTGTTTCCAGGTCTTACTACGATGATAAGAACTCAAGTTGAGAAAAACAAATCTGACAAAAGGCCCAAAGCCACCGCTGGGCCAGCCAACAAAAGTTTGTCCCTGGAGCCGCGATGAGCCTTTGCCGCGGCGCACCCCCACCCTCCCAGATTGTCCCCAACCCCCCGGCAGACCCCTGGCTGGCCCAGCTCTGCCCTGGGATGTGAGCAGGACCCTGAAAGCGCCCCGGGGCCACAGGAAAACTGTGCAGGTGGGAGAGCCTCCGGCCATCTTCCTCCTACGCCAGCCTCCTGGAATGCGGACCTCACAGTCCTGAAATCCAGTGGGAACGTGGGAAGGCCCAGGTGTGGGGGGCTGACGTCTGTGAGACACGGTCAGGTCTCCTCCCCGCCCTGGCCCCACTCCCAGGTCTCATCTAGAGAACCATGGGGCCCTGCCTCTGCAGGGGATGGTGGGGGAGGCGCTGGGGGAACAGGTCAAGTCTACACCCTGAACAGCAGGGCCCCAGGAGGGCTGCTGGGGGAGGGTTTCTATGCCCCCCCACGCCCGCCCCCGGAGAGGGCACTGAGTCCCTCCCTGAGCCCCTGTCCCACACTCCACCTCAGAGATGATCCAAGCAGCTTTCCAGTACCTCAGTCTTTTTTGGCCGGTATTCTTGAGATTTTAATTGGATTATTAATTTTCAGTTGAAAAATATAATTAGCTCCTTGATGGGATGGCAGTTGAGCTGACAGAGACTTTTCAGGCAGAAGACTATACTTTTGATGACTACAGAGAGGTAAATAGTAATTCTGTTTTTCATCAATGCCTTTTGAATTTCTTTTGAAAATCAGGATCTTTTTATTCTAGAAAATAAATGCTTTAATTAAAGTATACAGAATTTCTTATTCAAAACATCATTTTAGTAAACTTACAGGCTCACCTCATAGTTTTTCCCCAGCTGTACTGAAGAATGTAGAACCTCATCTTAAACCTGAGCAGCCAGCCGAGGCAGCCCTGTTGTCTGAGGGATGCGCCTCACACAGCCCCAAGGAGCCAGCCCAGGCCCAGGAGGGGACAAGACGGCGACGCACACGGTCACCTCCCCAGAGAGGGAAGGAGAGCGGGTCTCTGAGACAGTAAGATTCTACTGAAAGCACATTCGGAGAACAAGGAAATGCTCTTAACATTTTTTAAAAAGAGGAGAAATAAAAGTTCAATGAAGGGTGGAAGGAGAGACTTGAGAAAATCTCCCAGGAAGCAGACAAGAGAAAGATGGATGGAGGAGAGAAAAGGTGAGACACCAGAACAAGAGCTTGGAGGGGATAATTTTCACAGAAGTAAGAAGATAATTCCCTAGAATGATAGGAAACGAGTCTTCAGATTGAAAGAGCCCCATTACACATCCAGCCAAACGGATGGAAAAAAAACCCTCCCCAGCCTAGCAGAGAGACAGGGCAGCCTGCTGCGGACACCCCAAGACGGACGTGCTCCCACAGGGGCAACGTCACGTCCAAGAAGATCCGGAGTCAGAAGAACACTCGAAGCCAGAAAGCAACATCAGTTCTGAGGGAAAATGTAGAATTCTCTACCCAGGAAAACCATCTATCTAGCATGACTGGAGAATAAT